ACACAACGTCACCCTTCTGTCCGGAGTGTGGGAATGTGGAAGAATCACCAGAGCACGTGGTCTTCGAATGTCCTAGATTTGATGATGTGCGAGAGGATATGCTCGCCCTTAGCACGGAGAATGTCGTCGAAGAAATGTGTCGAGAGGAGGGCACCTTTAACGCCGTCAGCAGAGCAGTAACGCAGATCATGTCAGCGCTGCAGCGAAAATGGCGGGAAGACCAACTAGAAAGTAGTAATGTGCTCACACAAGTGCGAACTGAAAGCCGAAGCCGGGAGAACTCTCCGTCAGAGTAGGCTGTATCCACCACCAGGGATAACCGAGTAGAACGTGACGCTGGGAGATAAATGGCTCACAAATTGGAGAGACGATCAGCGAACTGGAAGCGCCAATTAGCTGAGGTAAAGTGAGGTGCGTAATGCACGGCCCCCTCCGAAGTAATACGACAAGTGGTTCCGGGGGAAAAGGGCAAGGCGTCTAAGGAGGTTTTAGTGCGGTAAGAATCCCACACACCGTGTCACCGCGACTGTGCGCCCAGTCGTCAAGCGGTGGCACGATGGCCTTTTTGAAGGTTTCCTCCTTGCCAAAAAAAAAAAAAAAAAAAAAAAAAAAAAAAAAAAAAAAAAAGACCAGACAGACCCAGACAGACCAGACAGACCCAGACAGACCAGACAGACCCAGACAGACCATACAGACCCAGACAGACCAGACAGACCCAGACAGACCAGACAGACCCAGAAAGACCAGACAGACCCAGACAGACCAGACAGACCCAGACAGACCAGACAGACCCAGACAGACCATACAGACCCAGACAGACCAGACAGACCCAGACAGACCAGACAGACCAGACAGACCAGACAGACCAGACAGACAGGACAGACCAGACAGACCAGACAGACCAGACAGACCAGACAGACCAGACAGACCAGACAGACCAGACAGACCAGACAGACCAGACAGACCAGACAGACCAGACAGACCAGACAGACCAGACAGACCAGACAGACCAGACAGACCAGACAGACCAGACAGACCATACATACCAGACAGACCAGACAGACCAGACAGACCAGACAGACGGTGGACGTCATCCGCGACGTCATCCAGACGGCAGAGGTGGTCCATCGGAAACGAAGGGGCATTCGCTACTGCGCGGTGCTAACCTTAGACGTGAAGAACGCGTTCAACAGCGCGTGCTGGGGGGCGATAGCCCGCTCGCTACACCAGCTCCAAATTCCCGGAGGGCTGTATAAGATTCTGGAAAGCTACTTCCAGAATCGTGTGTTGACGTACGACACAGAAGATGGCGAAAAATGCGTTAGAGTCACCGCAGGAGTGCCACAAGGCTCCATCTTGGGCCCGGTGGTATGGAACGTCATGTACGATGGACTGTTGAGGATAAAATTCCCAGTAGGCGTGAAAATTGTAGGTTTTGCCGACGATGTCACGCTGGTAGTCTGCGGGGAATCCCTCGAGGAGGTAGAGCTGACAGCGGCCCACTGCGTCAGGCTTGTGGAGGAATGGATGAGAACCAGGAAACTGGAGCTCGCCCATCACAAGACGGAAGTGGTCGTAGTCAACAATCGCATGTCAGTACAGCATGCAACGTTGACAGTCGGCGGAAGCACAATTAGGTCTGTGCGCTCTCTAAAACTCTTGGGGGTCATGCTCGACGATAAGCTCAGCTTCGGCTGCCACGTCGAGTACGCCTGCAAGAGAGCGTCTATGGCTGTGGGGGCATTATCCCGTATGATGTCAAACAGCTCGGCAGTGAATGCCAGTAAGCGCAGGCTCCTCGCTGGGGTCGTAGTATCTATCCTCAGATACGGCGGCCCTGCGTGGGCTGCGGTACTGGATATTGACTGCCACAGGCAGAAATTAGAGAGTACACACAGGCTAATGTGCTTAAGGGTGGCCAGTGCATACCGCACTATCTCGAGAGAGGCCGTCTGTGTCATAGCAGGGATGATGCCAATCAGCCTTATCATTAAGGAGGATGTGGCGTGTTATGACGCGAGGACCGTTCGAGGGGTGCGCAACAACGCGCGAGTTGTGTCGACCGCGAGATGGCAATTGGAGTGGGAAAACTCCACAAAGGGGAGGTGGACTTACCGCTTGATACCTTCCGTATCAAGCTGGGTCAACAGGCGCCATGGGGAAGTAAACTTCCACCTGACACAGTTCCTGTCAGGCCATGGCTGCTTTAGGAGCTACCTGCATAGGTTCGGACATGCAAGTACTCCCACCTGCCCCACATGTGCTGGTGTCGAGGAGACCGCCGAACACGTCGTGTTTGCCTGTCCACGTTTCGAGCCAGTATCGAGCGCTATGCTAGCGATATGCGGAGCGGATACCAGTCCGGACAACATCGTTCATAGTATGTGTGGTACCACCGAGAACTGGAGCGCGGTGGTGACTGCGGTCACCCACATAGTTTCGGTATTACAACGACAGTGGCGAGCCGAGCAGCAGTTACCTACTGCCCGACCAGATCGTTAGAGTATTGCTAGAGAGGCACCATAGCGCTACAGCGGCCCCTCCCACGAAGTAATGCCTTCGGGCGGTTCCGGGGAGGCCAAGGGCCAAGCGCACAGGGTAAGGTTTAGTGGGTCGGGAGTGAAATTCTCCCATCCCCACACCCTGAGTTCCTTCTCAGGTGTCTGTGAGCAGATTCCCCCCTGTATAAAAAAAAAAAAAAAAAAAAAAAGACAGACCAGACATACCAGACAGACCAGACAGACCCAGACAGACCAGACAGACCAGACAGACCAGACAGACCAGACAGACCAGACAGACCCAGACAGACCAGACAGACCAGACAGACCAGACAGACCAGACAGACCAGACAGACACCGTTGATTTTAGGCATATGGTATCTTGCGATAGACCAGTGCAAAACTTTAAAAAGTTGCAGAACAATCAATTTGCAGCACCTTTGCGAACCAATTTTCAAGTTTTTAATTTTATTTGAAAGATTATTATTTTGTTCATTTACGGTGGGAAAACTGCGAGAGCGATTTTTGTTTAAAGCAATTAATTTAATTTGAAAAAAAAAATCATATTTTTATGGAAAAAAAACACCATATGCCTAAAATCAACGGTTTTAGCGCAAACCTTTTTGTCTTTCTAAATACGGCTTTCAGACCATTGTGCATTGGTAGGACTTCCCTATAGTTTGAAAAAACTTCCCTGAACATCGGCAGAACGAACTTCTCTGAACTTCAGCAGAACTTCCCTGAACTACGGCAAGACTTCCCTGAACTTCGGCAAGGCTTCCCTGAACTTCGGCAGGACTTTCGGCAGGGCTTCGCTGAACTTCATCATGACTTCGCTGAAGTTCGGCAGGCCTTCCCTGAACTACGACAAGACTTCCCTGAGCATTAATAGAACTAATCTGAACTAGGAATCTTGGAATTGAAGTTGTCATTTAAGTAGTAGAATTATTATAACTATACAATAATATTGTGTTTACGCATATGTTCAAAATTTCAACACTTCCCATTTTTCTAATTTGAAATGCTAGTCGGTATTGATGCATTTCGAATTTGGGTGTGGTGTGAACGGGTGTGGATTCAGTATCAACGGAAAAGCATTAACTTTCACCTTAAGCGTGGGTAGGCAAAACTCGTTTTGAATATTAAAAAATATCGGTATAAATCGGTATAAAATCTCAAAAATCGGCATTCTGAGAAACCTTATCTGTACATGGGTATCAAGTTTGCAAATCGGTATGAATACCGATAAATTGGTATAGCTGGCAACGCTGAGATGGACACTGAAAAATTGACGAAAATCATTAAACAACAACTTTTGGTCAATTTTTTTAACTTTTGTTTATAAGATTTTTAATAAAATTTTCAACAGAAAACATTTTTTTTTTCAAAAAATCTTTTTCTGAGCAAAAATTTATTAGCCATTGTGTTAGTAACAAGAACAAAAATTTGACCAAAAGTTGTTGTTCTATGCTTTTTGTCAATTTTTCAGTGTCACTTTAACGCTCTTGGGTCATTCGTGACTTGTCTGGGGGTGAGATTTGAACTCGTGACTTTGGCGTGAAAGGTATGGATTCTAACCACTACGCCGGGATTGCCCCAAATTTTTAAGTGTTAAACTCGTTGATTTCACAAAAGATAACATATTCCATCAGCTGTTTAGTAAAAATATTCAAAAAATATTTAAGAGAGTAATTTTTTGTCATTGAAAATTACTAACACCGTTTTTGACTTTTTACCCAAAATGGATATAATTTTTGTACGGTGTATAGTTTTTCCTTAAAAGGTATTATTTGCTTATACAACTTTGTCTCTGACGTCATTTCGATTGGAAGTTACATTTTCGAATTATGATTTGTTGAAACAATTAGTAAATAGCGGAAACGCACCCGTATTGGCCATGTTCCTATTTTGGCCACCTTTTGACGATATTTCACGTTGTTTACAATTTTGAGATGTTCAGTTGCGTTCAGTTTGTTGGCACAAATCATATTCATCGGTGTACATAAACATTACGACCACAAAATGCACAGATATTGCAATGTAATCGGTTTTCTGAGGTGTGACCAAAATAGGAACCTGTGGCCAATACTGATGCACTTCCCCTACTCAATTTTCAGCTCAAATGCAAATGATTCACCGCAACAAACAATCATGCAAAGTTCCATGCAACTCGAAGCAGGTCGAGTCTGAAATTCATTGTTTTGTTTTTCCTTTCGGCCTGGAAGTGCTCGAGGTATAGTTTGTTTTTCCGATTACTGGCCCCGGTGGTTCGGGAGCGATGCGATGATGGTGCGACGGGACGGCCTCAGCTGGCGAATGTAAACTCATTTGCTCGAATGTGCGCACTTAAAATGATTGGTTTACATCATTGTTGTTTATACATCAGCAGCAGCAGCAGCAGCAGCAGTCGGGTCACGCTCAAACAATACTACACAATATTGGACAGACGGTGGCTTTTGTGGGTGTGGTGGTTCCACTTCAGTGCAGATTTTCGGGACTCACCTGATCGTTCATGGTGGAAATTTCGTTATCAATCTCAGTCGGTGGGCTCCGGGTGTAGTCGAGGCTGAACATCGGTGGCGGAGCACCTCCAATCACCTCCAGCAGAAAGCTTTGCGCCAGACCACCGTCGCTCCCGGCTTCGCAGACCACCTCCAGGAAGGTGTCGTTGTGGAGTTCGCAGTTTCGAGGCGTATCCGGCGTTTCTACAGGGGAAACAAAAAATAAGGACCATGTCCGACAGGAGAGAGAGAGAGAGAGAGAAAATAGACATAGCAGAAGGCAGGAGAATTAGAATTTTTAATTAACATCACGACGGTCCGTCGCTGCGTTCAACCTGAAGAGGGAAAAAGGAATTAGCAGTATTTCAGGTGATTTTCGCTGAACGGTGTTAACGTTGTGTCAGAAGCAGATGTTTTTGAAATTAGAAAGTTGTTTTTCATGCTCGAGAACTTCAATCTCGTTTTTTTCCGAGTATTGTTAACTAAATTGAGAAATTATCCAGAATGTGCGGTAGCAAAGGAAAATATACTTAATTTCTGGTTATAAGCAAACTTATGTACCCATCATCTTCAGGCTAGCTCCACTTTTCTGGCTTGGATTTCTTACATCATGAACATTGAATGCGCATTAATGCTTTTAGAATTCTATGCTACACGCTCAGTTATTTTTCTGAAAACACAATCCACTTTCCCAAAACTTTTTCTCAAACGTCATTTTGATTAGCTGAGCCGTTTTCGTGCTATAATTTATTGAAAAATATCGAACACGCCATTTTGAAAAAAATAGTCGAGAGTCAAATGGCTGAATTCCAATACAAACTTGGCTCACTGTCCCTAAGGAAAAACTTATGCGAAGTTTTATGGAATTCTGGGAGGTAAAATCGGAAATTCATTTATTATTTCGCTTTTGGCGTGGATTACAAAAATTGACAAAATTGACAACTTAGCGACGCTGGTGGTCAAGCTTACAGGTATAAAAATGAAACGTGTAGAATCGGATTATACCTGTGATCTTGACATTTCTACCTATGGGATGAGTACTTAAGGGGGTTTAATTTTGATAAGTCTATAGTGGTAATGACATTGTTGAAGACTGCAGATTATAGTCGAAATACTTATCGGTCATAGAAACCAAAATTATTTAAGAGGAATTAAATAGAATATTACCTTTTGAGCTATTTTATTTAAATATTCTTCAAAATATATTATTCTACAAAAAATAAGAAAAAATTTCAAAATGTGTAAAATTTACAAAATTTATAAAATTTACAAATTTTGTACAGTTTACAAAATCCATAAAATTTACAATATTTACAACATTAACAAAGTTTACAAAATATATAAAACATACAAAATTTATAAAATATGCAAAATTTATATAATTAACAAAATTTATAAAGTTTTACAAATTTTACAACATTTGCAAAATCTTACAACATTTTACGAAACAAAATGAACAGATATTACAAAAATATTACAATTGGTTAAATTATAAAATTTACTAAATTACGAGAACTTCAAAAAAAAAATCTTCAAATTACAAAACCAATTTTCAACAAAAACATTGAGATATAAAAATTTTAAAAATTTGCACAATTTACAAAAGTAACGAAATTAACAACATTTTACAATATCACCCTAATAAAGCTTTGCAAAAAAAAGGGAATTCAGCAAAATTCAGTTAACAAGTTCAAGTTAACAAACTTTTCAAAACAAAAGTACCAAAATTAAGAGACTAACCAGCTGAAGGCTGATATATTGTGTTTCGCACGTTAAAACTGTGTGCACAGTTATCCAGTATTTTTTAATGAATTGACAAATCAAGAGCAATTTTTCATTATGTTAAAAGTGCCATTCGCACCGATTCGAGAAAATTAAAGTTTAGTTTTGATGACCAAAAAGTTATTCCTATTTCCAATTAAACTCACAAAATCTCATATTGATAGCAATGTTTAACATACTAAGCAGGGTTTTAATCATACAAAGCTGATCGCTAGCTGTCATACTAAAAAATACTGGTTTTTGAGTCAAAAGTTATTGTATATCGTTTGGTAGCCCCCTAATGTTACTTAAGGGGAAGTTCACCGCTCCGAAAAAAATAATTACGTTTCGATTTTTCTAAAAAAAATGGAAAAATATATAAAATATCTAACAAATAATATTTTTTCTAATTTTCTATAGAAAATTCAGGTAAAAAAATATATTTTTTTAAGTCATCATGGCATAAAGTTGGACTCAAAAAAACCACAAAACATCGACTTTTCGGTTTTGCTGATAGTCCAATTTTGTTTCATGATAAGATAGAAAAAAGATGATTGCATGTAATTTTTGTCAAAAATCTTAGGAATAAAATGAATTTCTTGGATTTTTGATAATTTTTCCCAATATTTTTAGACAAATAAAAACGTGCCAAAACTAAATTTTTATTTTCAGGCCGGTAAACTTACCCTTAAGTCAAAGTTTATTTACCAGGGTATCCGGGAGAAATATCTATCACGTCACCTTACATGTATCACATTCATCATTTAAGGACCACCGAAATCATCTTAGCAACACACAGTTCGATTTATTCACTTTAATAATGATGAAGCGAAACGACAAACGTACACTTTTCATGGGTTTACTGCGCTGTTACTTAAGACAAACGGCATTTCCATCGAAATCGGGTGACTTTAGTAAAATTAAAAAATATTTTGATCGGAAGGTGATTACGTCAAAAAACAATTGGACTGGAAAGTAAATTTTAAAATGGGATGTGATCCTATATTCGGACAGTAAATAGGGTAATAGCGGGAGCTTCGATTGACACTGACAGCTCGACTTTGGTTACCTTTGTTACTTTCGACGTAATGAAAATTTTCTCTTGAAATTATGTAGGGGAAATGGATGTAATGTTTTGGGCCTATACATAAATTCAGCAATCGGCAAAATTTTCAATATCTATTTGTACCGCCCCAATGACGCGTTCAAAATCGATAAATAGCAGATTTTTAGCGATAGGCCCAATCTTAGATCCATAGGCCAAAATACGAGCCATTTCCCCTATATGTTTTTTTAAATATCTTTATTAAGGAGACTTTCAGCCCTGGGCTGGTTCGTCTCCCACTATATGTTGTTTTTCAAGATTCTAAGCATTTTTGAATTCAAAGTGTTTTTATGTTACTTCATACATGAACTTTACGATTTTCAGAGTTGGTTGGTTTCGGCTTCATGTTAGAAACTTGCCCCAACCCAAAGATGGTGTAAACTCGGGTGTTAGTTTGCTTAGGTGAGCCTTGAGTCTCAAGAAAAGGGTTTCCGATGTTTTGTTCGCAATGTGATGTGCTCTTTTCTGTTGTTGGTCGTGATTTGCTCGATTGGTTCCGCTATTTGACAGTTCAATTGGTTCCCGAGATTCTATTCGCCAGACTATGAAAATAGTGACTATAGTCTACGTGCGACGGCATCGACAGCATACACATCACCGGAAAAGACGTCATCCATTCGAATCAAGCACACGCGGATGAAAAAGTATTTTATTTACTAAATCTAGTGTTTAAAATAATTCGTTTGTTATTCAAGTTCTACCGGTAAATAATCCTAAAATCTACAACCTAATTATATTGATTTCTAACTAGAACTAGAACTAAAACTAGGACTAAAACTAACTTGCACAGCCAGAGAAAAGGCCTGAGAAGAAAAGGGCCTCTGATTTGTAAGAGGTTACCTATAATCTAAACCTAACTTAAATTTATAGTTTGAAGCGAGCCAAAACGGAATAAACACTTTTCAATAACAGTACAGCGTTCTTTTTATTTGGCCGTACCAACACTTAAAATATATTTATTTATACCTATTTGTTCATTAGTTTCTGTTATGCAAAATTCTAAGTTCGGTATCTCGAATATTTTAATTAATCTTGAATATTTCTTCAAGCGCATAATTCTTAGCATGAGATACCAAAAATCAAGTCTGAGATCTAAAATAAACATCCATGTCTCAGAGTTTCAAACATTTGTTAAGTCCAAGATCGTTCAAGATTTTCCTCAATCATCGCAAAAAAAAAATGATTAAATTTCTCTCTTTAGCTTTCCTTAACTTTCACTTTGAATGTTCCTCAGAAATTTCTGGGTAGGCCCTTTAGAATTCAGCAAATAGTTTCCTCAGAACTTCCTTTGCGATTTTTCTCAAAATTCCGCTGAGAGAATCTCTTGAACTTTTTTTTTGAGTTCTCATGAAACTTTCCTTAGAATCTCCTGGAACGCTACGCCTATTTGTTGTGGAAACAATGCTCAAATTTCCCTTGAATTCTTCTCTTTAAAACCCTCTCAGAAATTCCCTTAAACTATTTTGAAATTCCTATGAGTTCTCTTACAAATACGACAACGATTTTTTTCTATTTATATTCAGAATTAGATTCTCTAGAAATTATTATCAATATTCAATTTAAGATCTCCTCAGAATTCTGTGATTGATTGATTAAAAATTAAAAGGAGATGTAGATGATAATCAAGAGGGGTAGGATCGGAATTGTATCCATTAAGTTTGCGGGTAATTCAATCTGTATCCTGCTCCGAAGTGTGTCGTGGCCGCTATTGGACGCGTCGGTTCTGATGTCGGCGTTGGTCGCGAGTTGATTCGACCGGTGAAAGGCTGGTGCTGTGTCTTCCATACTGGCGAACTGAAGCCGTTGTGTCGCAGTCCTTTTTTATCTGCTGAGATTCCTCTAGTCGGAGCAGCTATAGTGTGTTCCGTGTTTGTTGGGGGGTTTCTGTTGCTGTACGAGGAAGGAAAGGCAAGAGTGCTGTTTTTAACACCCGTTGAAGAAGTAGCAGCCGCTCTGGGGAGGGGAGGAGCTCTTCGAAATCATCATGATGTAATGGATTGCTTTGCAACATATCGGGTGCGATCTTTCCTTTATTTTTCTCTTAACTTTCAGTCCATTATTTATGAAACATGATAGGTACAAGAGGGTTCACCAGGGTACCTGATTGCAGCGAAATGGATGGGGAGAATCGAAATGCCAACTCCCTGTGTTTAACATTTCGGGAATAGATGGAGGGCTCTTCTCCCCAATCATTAGGGCATCTTTCTGCTGGATGGCCTGTTTTTTGTCCGGTTGTATGACCGTTGTTGGAAGGAGATTGTTATTTAACCCGTGAATGTACGTCCGGCGATGTTGCCCATGGATTCACACAAACCGTTTTGGCCCTTCATACAATGGC